ATTTACCAAAAAAATTTTAAATTTTAAAAATAAAATTTAATTTTTAAGAATGTATGTATCGATCGATTTTTTTCAAAATTTTTTGTAAGAAACTGGTACTAAATTAAGAATTTTTAATCCTTGTCTGATTGTGGGCAAACGATGGGATCTATTTATTTTGAAATTTTTAATTTTTGTAAAACGGTAGGTAGCCAAATGCCTAACTTGCAATTTGATCAAATCACTTTTTTAAACAGTAAGAAGGTTAAGTTCGGAGAGACTCAGTCTGAAAACAGTTTTGGTTTGAAAAATTTGCGTGATTTGGTCAAATGTCAAGTTACGCATTTGGCTACCTACCGTTTTCACTGCGTATACAAAAATTAAAAATTACAAAATAAATAGATCCCATCGTTTGCCCACAATCAGACAAGGATTAAAAATTCTTAATTTAGTACCAGTTTCTTACAAAAAATTTTGAAAAAAATCGATCGATACATACATTCTTAAAAATTAAATTTTATTTTTAAAATTTAAAATTTTTTTGGTAAATTAAAAAAAAATTTTTTTTAAATATTTTTATCAAAAACTACGTGTAAAAACAAAAATTTTCATATATCGAACGTCCAATTTGATCAATTTTTGTCCGAGTTATATGCATTTAAAAAAAAATTTATGTAAAAAACGTGATTTTTCAAAAACCCAGATCTCTTAAATTACTTCATGAAAAAATTTGAAAAAAATCATGGAAGTTCCTTTCAACCAGCACTAAAAGAAAAAAAATATTTGAAAAAAATCGGAGATGCAAAAGTCAAAAGGTGTCCGACTTGGCGTGGAATGCCCCATATATAAGGGACTTCTTTCCCCAAAATTTTTTTTAAAAAATTCAAAAATTGTTGAAGATACGCCATTTTGAATTTTAATATTAATTTTATAAAATTTTGAATATCTCGGAATATTGTTTGTGGATTTTTATAAAATTTACACATTTTTCAGGTAAAAATTTGTAATTTGAAATAAAAATAATGTTAATAAAAAAAATTAATTTTTAAATAAAAAATTGTAGGTATATCTCCGGCTGCTACTTTTGAAAAAATTTATTTTCAATAGATTTTCTTCAAATTTTGAGATAATGTTTCTTTGTAAATATTTAAATGTGGTAAATATTTCAAAACTCTTTGCCATGTCAAAAAACGAGATATTGTGGTTGATATTTTTATTTTTAACATAGTCGCATGTAAGAGTTACAGATTGAACTTCAATATCTCAAAATTTAGCATCACAAAGGGTTTTCAAATTTTTACCACATTTAAAGAGCACCCGAAGAGATATTTTCTCAAAATTTAAAAAAATTCTATGAAAAAACCATTTTTTCAAGAGTAGCAGCCGGAGAATTCGATTTTTTTTAGCATCGACAAAGATTTTCTATGGTAAAAAGCACAGAAAATTAATGTAGAGCCTTAAAAATTTCTAAAATTCATGAAGAAATTGTCGTTTACCATCAATTTTTCAAAAATTTAAGAACCGTTTGTACCACAGGCCTATAGTATTTACTAAACAAGAACCAAAGAATAATTTCCTGAAGGTTTCAACGTGATAATTCCGAATCCAGCGTCATAGTAGACCCAGCACGTCAGGTTTTTGAGGTATTTTAACTTAAAAGTGCGAAAAACCAGTTTTTTAACATCAAAAGATAATTGTTTTGCAAAAAGTTCAATATTTTATCTGAAGATGCTACTTTTTTTCTTTAAAATACATTTTGGAAATTTAAATTATTTTAATTTTCCTCTGAGTAATCGTTCATTCTGTTTACTGAGTTTGACAAATTCTTTGAAAACTAAGTAGAACTAAGTAAAAACAGACAAACCTTCGGCAATAATGAAGAAGAATATTATTACTACAAACCAGGATATAAATTTCAAAATACTTCTGTGTATTTTTGGTACAACTGAATGCGAATATGATGTCAGATTTACCAATTCGTCTGCCATATATGATCTGCTATTTTTAATTTTGAAAATCTGACATTGAATTCGTATCCAGTTATACCGAAAATCTGCAGAACCATTTGAAATTTAGATGTTTATAGTTAAATTTTTCTATATTATCGAAGTATTGTCTATTTCTACTCAATGTTGGTAGAATTTGCCTACCTCACTAACAAATGAAGATTTTTTTAAATATCCGAAATGAAAAAAAAATCGAAAAACTGAGTTTATTCAAAAATTGATAAACCAATTTTTTCTTTTTTGTCTTAAAATTATTGTATGGCTTTACTGAAACGATACAAAAAAATTGGATGGGCAAGAACTTTTGGGTTTTTATTCGAAGCTCACCTTGTTGCTAGTCTTTTTATAGAAAAACTCCAATATCTCCGGAACCAGATGAGTCTTCATCAATTTTGTTTTATTAAATTAAAGGTGAATTCATAAGAATTCTAAATATGTTAATAACACTTTTCAGAGAGGAGTAAATAATAAAAAAAATTTATTTAAAAACTAATTTTTTTATTAACATCATTTTTATTTTGAAGTACACTTTTTTACCTGAAAAAAGTGTAAACTTCATAAAAATCCTTAAACAATAGTCCGAGATGTTCAAAATTTTATGAAATTAAAATTAAAATTAAAAATGTCATTAGAATCTCTCTTTCTATAATATTATTAAGTTTTTGGGTCTATTAATTATTTATAGATCAACTTAAGTATTTTCGTATTTGTTTCTTTAGGTAAAAAGGAAACTTTTTCTGCCCGGCGCTCAATGATAACACCAGATTAAAAATTATCTTAACAAATCGCGGCAAGGCTAATGGAACCGAGCTGCCGGTGCTACCACTGCGTCGTGAGGATGGTGTCCGAGTACAATGTGAGTAATATAATATAATATAATAATATAATATTATAATAATATAAAATATAATTATTTAAATGTAATTAATTTTTTTTAGTTGCAGCATGAAGGTAACGAGGTGCCATTCCCCGCAACTCCTCCAGGACCGACACAGTCACCGTGGAACCAGGTGGTGAATCCACTACCACCTTCGGCGGAAGTCGGGACGCCACCGCAGTCACCTCTGCATGAGATGGCACTCCAGTGGCGTCCTATTCACCGCCGTGGATGCTGGTGCAGAGGCCGCCGACACCACTACCCAGGCCACCGACACCTCAACCCAGGATGGAACCGGAGTCTCCCCCACCCTTTATTCAGTTGGGGACTCCATCCAGGTCGCTGACACCGTTGGAATGGTGGCCTACAACCCCGCCAGGAAGTCCGCCACTGTGTAGGTCACCGATACCCAGGGCGCAGTCTCCCGAGCCCAGGGTAGAGGAAAGAGAGCCGGCGGAACCTCCACCAGAGGCGCAGCCGCCGCCCGCTCACGGTCGGCGTCGCTGCCATCGACGGCGGCGCGTAATTTTAAATATGACTTTGAATTTTATTTTTAAAAATCAATAAATTTTTATTTTTTTTGTAAATTAGTATATTTATTTTGCGGATCCTGTATAGAAATTGTTACGACTGCGTTAGAGTAAGAGTATTGCGCATGCGTGAATAGGTGGGGGAAAATTTAAGAGTGGGGATTAGGGTGGTCCAAAAAAAGTAAAATCGAAATTTTAGTGCTCTCACCCCCTAGGATTGTTCTATATAGAGAAAAAAAATACCCCTATTTTGTTTTTTGAAAATAAAAAAATATTTAGAGGTCGCTCAACGCGCTCAAAGTTTCGCATGTGAAATGCATGGGGAAAAACACTTTTTCGTAGAATTGGTATAGAATCCTTGAAAATCAATATTTTTCATTCAGCAAACTCTGTTTCTCTTCATAAGACTTCAAAGAACAGTGCTAAATTGTTTATTTAATCATTTTTTTAAATTAACTATTTTTTATAGTGCCCCAAAGAACCCCCATAAATTTCAAAATTATAAAAAAAATTGTTAAAAAATATTTTTTACTATTTTTATCAAAGTTTTTTCCTAGATTATGAATAAATAACAAAAATATTGATTTTTAAGCATTATTCCATGTAATTGCTAATTTGTTTAAACAAATTATTATTATTATTTATTTACAACTTTTTATCTAATTGAGCTAAAGAGTTCCGATTTTTTCTCAAATTTGCAACTTTTCAGGCCGAATGTAACCAGTCACTATCACAGAATATTAATTTTACCAATTGTTTAAACAAATTACTATTGTTTAACTTCCACTTTTTATCAAAATGAGCTACAGAGTTGCAACTTTTTCTTAATTGTACATTTTATTTTTTTGTGTGGTAATATTTAATGTAATACTTAATCATCGTTTACAATTAGTAAAATTGATATTCTTAGTTAGTTGATAGTGACTGGTCAGTAAATATACGTGTAGACAACTATGTAGACTACATCGAGTAGTTTACGTTCCGAACCCTGGATTTTGGCGAGTTTAGTCAGTAGCTGTTCTGTTCACAAGTTCAGCGGTTCTAACAGCAGCATCAGCAGATTCCCCTTGCCATCACTAATTGTCTTTTTTGTTATATTTACTGTCTTTTTTGTTACATTTACTGTGTTTATTGCACTTACTTTGTATTGGTTTGTAGGTTAAGTTCTTTAGTTTGTTTTGTTTAGTATAAGTATTTTAGTTTATAAGTTCGTTCTTTTGTTAGTTTGTAAGTGTGTTCTTTTGTTAGCTTGTAAGTGTGTTCTTTATTCTTTTTGTTAGTTTGTAAGTGTAATTTCAGGTGTAAAGATGAAGAGAAAAGCTACAACCGCCGATGGACAACGTAAGTATCCAAATTACGGTACTATTCTTGACGAGAGTGACGTCACTGTTACTCTCATCAAAGAGGCTTTAGAGCTGATTCCTCTGTTAGACGACGTCAATTTAAGACGTTCATTCGTTGAGAGATGGATTGTAGAATGCTCACAACATGAAAACGTTTTATCGAGCATTCTGAAATCGATGTACTTCACACAATAAAAGCAAAGATGTGTGAGCATCATACAATCCATCATAAGGTTTCGCGCATTATTTGAGTCCCATATTGTAGATGGCGCTGGAATCGGTGATCCAGATATCAATAAACGTGTTCGCTGGGAAGGAATGTGAGAGTGCGTTTGCGTGTAGGCTGTACACTAATGTGGTCCTGAATCTAGTGCACATTGATGTTAGTGCGTTTTTGGATGATGCGTCTAGGCTTTTTCAGGACCGCATTAGAGATGCTATAAACAAATATGGTCCTATTTTGGTGTATGGTGTTCTCATTGCCAACTTTAAAAGGGTTGATAATGAGGAAGAAGTAGTTAAGCCAATTCCCTTTGGAACTAAGGCTAACAGCATCTTCCCCACAACCCTTTTAGATGATTGGTTTAATGAGAACATCAAGCAGCCAATCTTGCGCAGTGTAGAAGAGTTTCACGCAAAGGGTTCAAATTGGAATCTTCAGTCTATTATAAGACTTGAAGTGAATGTAAATAAATACAATCCAATGCGTGCGAGCTCATACATTGATCTACCTTCACAAATTAAAAGAAAGAAAGCCTGTATTAACGTGCAAAACAAAGATAACGAGTGCTTTAAGTGGGCGGTACTGTCAGCCTTACATCCAAATGTCGTGAGAAGTGATCGTGTTTCCAACTACAAAGAATTTGAAAATGAGTTAAATTTTGACGGAATAGATTTCCCAGTAACGTTAAAAAATGTCCCGAAATTTGAAAAATTGAATGATATTTCAATTAATGTCTATGGTTTATCAAAATACTATGGGGACTTCTTAACACATCCTCTCCATCTCACTGCGGAAAAAAGAGATACGCGTGTAAATCTCTTGTATGTTGCCGACATGTACGCTGATGAAAGTGTTAAAGAGAATGTAATTGTGATGACGGCTTTATGAATTTCCATTATGTATGGATTAAAGATTTGTCACGCCTAGTGTCTAAACAATTATCTAAGAAGGCACATCGAAAACATATCTGTGACCGATGCTTACACTACTTTTTATGTGTTGAAAGATTGAATGCACACATCGAAAATTGTAAAAAAGTAAATGATTGTAATATTAAATTACCGAAGCCCGATAAGAGTTTAATCACATTTAAAAATTTTAAGAACAAAGAAAAAGTGCCATATGTAATTTACGCCGACTATGAAAATCTACTTCTTCCAGCGGATGAAGATGTAGACAATTTAAGTAAGACTGAAGTCTTCCAGCGTCACAAATTGTTAAGCATCGGATATTATATAAAATGTAGCTACGACGAATCATTATGTAAATATGTGCCGTATCCGAAAAATGAATCTGACCCTGCTAAATGGTTTGCTGAGGAGTTAAAGCAGATTGCAGAGAAAATGAATAAAGTTTTTAAAAATCCGTTACCAATGACTGCATTAACTTCTCAAGAAATCAATGATTTTAAGCGAGCGACAGTCTGTCACATTTGTCATCAGAAAATACCGGCAAGCGAAAAGAAAGTCCGCGATCACTGTCACCTTACTGGCAAATATAGGGGTGCTGCCCATGAATCATGCAACTTAAACTATCAAGATTGTCAAACGATCCCCGTAGTCTTCCACAATTTAAGCGGTTACGACGCCCATTTTATAATTCACGCGATCTCGACGAGCTTTGAAGGGAAAATTGACCTCCTCCCCATTAACAAAGAGAAGTATATCTCTTTTACTAAACATGTTAATGGGAGTGAGGTCAAATTCAGATTCATTGACTCATTGCGATTCATGGCAGCATCCCTGGAAAAACTCGCATCGTACTTAGACGAGTATAAAATTGTAAACTCCGTTTTTGCCAGTACGGTGACAGATCCGGATAAAATCAAATTATTAACGCGCAAGGGTGTTTTCCCCTATGAGTACTTTGACTGAAAAAGCAAGATCGACGAAACCGAATTACCCCCTATAGAGAAATTTTATAGTACGCTTTATGATGTCGGTATTTCTGATGATGAGTATACACATGCGCAGAATGTATGGACCGAGTTTAACTGTCAAAATCTCTACGACAGTGTTTAAGCGTACGGGTTAGATCCTGCTCACTATTATACGACCCCCGGTTTAACTTGGGATGCTATGCTCAAGTACACGAGCATAGGATTGCAACTAATAACCGATATCGATATGATTATGTTTGTTGAGTCCGGTATTAGAGGTGGCATAAGTCAATGCTGCAACCAATATACTATAGCGAATAATCCATATATGGAAAATTCCGATGATAGCAAAGATACTAGCTACATCATGTACTTTGACGCCAACAATTTATATGGCTGGGTAATGGCTCAAGCGCTCCCTTATGGCGGCTTCAAATGGGTTGAAAATGTCGACAACTCTTTCAATTTTAATGTATCCGACGATTTACCTGTTGGATACATACTCGAAGTTGACTTGGAGTATCCCGAAAGTATTCACGATATCCACAAAGACATGCCATTTTGCGCAGAAAATACAAAACCTCCCCTATCGAAACAGGAGAAATTATTAACAACTCTCCTACCCAAAGAAAAATATGTAATCCACTATCGAACTCTCAAACAAGTTGTTGCTAATGGTATTAAACTTGTAAAAATTCACCGAGTCTTACAGTTTAAGCAATCAACATGGCTTAAACCATACATCGACTATAATACGATGATGCGAACCAATGCTAAGAATGAGTTCGAGAAAAATTTGTTCAAGCTCGTGAACAACGCTGTGTACGGCAAAACAATGGAAAATGTCCGTAAACATGACGACATTAAACTTGTCACCCAATGGTTTGGCCACTATGGAGCTGAAGCCCTAATCTCTCGCCCGAATTTCCATAGTCGAGTGATTTTCGGCGAAAATCAGGTTGCCATTGAACTGCGTAAAACCGAGGTACTACTCAACAAACCAATCTATGTGGGGTTAAGTGTGCTGGATGTTTCCAAAACGCTAATCTACGATTTTCACTACGGGTATATGTTAAAAAAATACGGCGATAATTGTTAACTGATGTATACCGATACAGACAGGCTGCTGCCCAATGTAAAAACCTAGTAAGTCGCATTTGCTGTAAAGGCGACTATCGCTCAGGCGACGAACTCATCAATACCCACTTCTCACTCCCATTGGTTACACACACAAGTGCGAACCGCGCGTTTAATCTCGTACGTGTGCCTCTTTTTCGTTTTTCTCGACATGCGGAGAATTTGCGATTATATTTACCGACAGTAGCACAGAAGGTTAATTTTCTGGCGCGAATTTCAAAATTCCTAATTCTTAAATACTATCCCTTATATGTTTCTATAGATTTTAAGTATCAATTAATTCGTAAACATAAAAAACCATTTCTTATCTATTTAATATGTATTTAATTAATTTTTTCTTATGTAAATATCACTCAGAAATGATTAAGAGATAAATTAAAAAGAGGTAATAAGCAATAAGTATGTATTATGAAAATGGAACAACAAATATTACCTACAATTATATTAATTAATTATTAAAACAATAAAATTATATGTTTATTGTTTGTAGAAAATAAATTTAAATAATACAAAAATTAATTTTATAAAATAGTAAAAACTGTTTTGAATTACCACAGACATAAAAAAATATTGTTAAAAAAATTATTAAACACGAGTTGTTGAATGGGTCTATTTCCGAAAACAAAAGTAAGTACTCACAATTATTTTAATAATATTACCATCTTGCATTTGGTTTCATTATTTAACCCTTAAACCGCACCCTGGGTGTGCGACACCCATATTCTAGCTTTTTACTCTAATATTTCGGTTAAATTCGTAAAAATTGAACATGTGTTGATATTGGACGGTACATTTTGTACTTAAATTTGTGTTTCGTGAGTGACATTAGTTTGCCAAGTGCCCTTGTGTATTTGATAACTTTTTAAAGTCGTCGGCGAAAATTTTCTGCTTGTTTGACACCCAGTTCTTGGTTGAAGGTAATTTCAATAGTTTTAAAAAACTCTTTTTTAATAATTAAAATTAAATAAATCATTATGAAACCTATTTTCCATCAAAATAGATGTACTGAGCTATATAAGATAATTTTTCCAAAAGATAATATCCTATTTCAGCTTGGAGAACACACTTAAAAGTCCCCGGGTGTCGCACACCCAGTGTGCGGTTTAAGGATGGATTCGGCAGTGTGCGGTTTAAGGGTTAAAACGACCTTTTTTGGATTATAATTATTATACAAATAATAAATATAAAAATATTATTGCTAATATATTGTTGAACATTGTCAATACAGCATTTTTTCTAATTTACATAGTCTCTTATTCTTATTTTTTACATACGTTCCAGTGAAAAAATAGTTATTTATTACACACCGGAATTCACTTTACGCACTGCTAACGGTGTGTAAAGTTACAATTTACACACCGCTATAAAAATAAGTACTTTACACAGTCTTCTGTGTGTAAAATTCAATTTTACAGGTTAGTGTTACAAAACATTAACTTTATTTAAAATGGTCAACAATATATCAATGCAATTAATTTGTTGATAATAGTACATATTAGAGAAATTCCACGCCAAATGATCATACATCTTTTTGATGATTTTAGCAATATTAAAAATACTTTTTGAATTTGTTCCTTTATATACATAGAATTGAAATGTATAAAAGTTTTTTCAAAATTTTTTGAGTTACCTTTTTGTACTTAAAATTTTGGTTGGGTTTTCAAAAAAGCCACATAACTTTTTTTATTGTTAACAGATTAAGATATTTTTTGGAAAATACTCATAATAAGAAGTACTTATAAGAAAAAAAGAAAAAAAAACTTTTTTTTGCCCCGAAAAAATTTAAAAACAATTTTTGAATTTTTTGAAAAAATATATCTTCGATTTGGAAATTTTTTTTGTAAATTGACAAAGTAAAGAATACTTCCTATAAATTTAATTATGGAACAATAATAACTTTACGATAAAAAAAATAAAATGTTCAGCGCGGCGTGCCGGGACCTATTAAAATAATGTTTAATTGATAAAAAATTATAAATTATGTAAGTAAACATTGTTAAACAATGAAAAGTTATTATTTTTATTGTATTTAGAAAAAAATTTCAAGGCCTAAGTACAGTTTATAAAAAAATAACAATTAATTGTTTAACAATATTTAATTAATATATTTATTTTATTTTTTATCAATCAGACATTATTTTAATATGTTTTTCGATTAATTTTCTTAATCAATAAAACTAAAAAAATATGTTTTATGATTTTTTTTAATACTTATTGTTATTTAAAAAATGTTTAAAAACAAAAATTTAAAAATAAGGCTCCAGATATCAATAGAAAATTTAATTACGAAGATTTAGAAAAGAGAAAAACCGTTTTGGTAAAGAATTGAGATCTGTAAAGTGATTTAAAAAGAAAATTGCACCGCCATAAGCGAATACTGCACGCCGCGATAAACATTTTATTCTCTTTCTCGTAAAATTGTTGTTGTCCCATAATTAAATGAGTAGGAAGTATTCTTTACTTTGTTGACAATATTTACAAAAAAAAATTTCAAATATGCGCCTTTTCTGAAAACTTGACCAAAATTTTGAAAATACTTTTATACATTTTTATTCTATGTATATAGAGGACCAACTTCAGAAAGTATTTTTAATATTGCTAAAATCATCAAAAAATTTTATAATAACTTAGCGTGGAATTGCTCTATATTATTATTAATAAATATAATTTTTATAATAATATTAATCGTATGCTTAAGAGGGTAAAGTTTCTTTGTAAATAGTAGGGAAGAGTGGTCCTAAGTTGGCCGCCTAAGCAAATTGGTCGAAAATAGTAACAAAATGAAATTTAATCACTTCGGCAAGTATATATTAGTGTTCAGAGATCGTTTTGCTATAATTTTGTGGTATTTAGAACGTTATAGAATGACTTTTGTAGTCTTAATACAATAAATCGTGAAAAGCTGCATTTTGGACATTTCAGAAATAGCGGTCCTAAGTTTTAGTTTATAGCGGTCCACTTTTTTTCGCTTGAGAATAAGGAAGAAATGCATATTCTTTTCAATTACGCAGAAATTTTACAAATTTGATACATTTAGGAGAATAAAAACGCATTATTTAACTATTTTTGTTTAGAAAATGAAGCAATATTTTATTTCATTTATTTACAGTGGTGGATGGCTGTAGAGACAGGCGTTTTTGTACTTCATTTTATCTAATGTTTTTTAAACCATTTTTTTTTGTTTTTTGTCTTTGTTTAATTCCTACGTTACACTTTTACGGTCTTTCTCGTGATAAAAAACACAAAAAAGAAATAAAACATAAATAAAAACAAACAAAAACAATAGGTGGCCAACTTAGGACCACTGTAGATTTTTACAAGTTTCAAATTATTACGCTAATAAAAAAAAATTTATTTAAAAAATCAACAGAACCTCTTATTACAACATTAAATAAAGGAACTAGCGCACACACTTATTTAGAAATTTTTAATTATTTATCTCTTGTAGCTGCTCTCGAAAAAACAAGAAAAATCAAATTTTTTTGGTCAAAAACAATATTATTGTCCTCACAATGCGTAGAAGAATCTTAGATTATAATTAGGTCCATAAATTATATCATGGTTTATCAATATATCATACCACAAAATTATAGATTCGTCCAGTATACCATCTGTATACCATCCAGTATACCATCCAGTATACCAAATGCAGGGTGGCCAACTTAGGCCCACGGCCAACTTAGGACCACTCTCCCCTAATAATAATTATTTTTTTACAGTGAATGACTTGACAAATACCATCGAGGAAACCGAAAAGAGTAATAAATATACGTTATTGCCCCCATGTACAGAAAAATGTAGGCAAAAGTGTATAGAAAGAATTTCTGAAAATCAGAGAAGACTTATATTTGATTATTT